TCCAAAAATAATAAATATCTAAAATATATTTAATTGCATTATTCAACTACTTTATCTTCCAACTGTGTTAAAACCGTAATTACAGCGATACCTAAACCAGGAAGAGATACAACAAAGGCCTTATCGTATACACCAATTAGTCTTCTATCGACGCTATCAAAAATGATTGGATGACTATTATATGACAAAATATAACCCATGTTGAACACTAAACAAATAATTCCTGACTACGAATTTGAGTTCTGATAAAGACACACAACAATTCAACAAGTATATAGAGTGGCATATAAAATCCTAAACGTCCTTAACAATAAAATTATGGCATTATGGTGTTAAACCATAATTGTGTATAAAGAGCCTTTAACACTGTGAAAACGAAATACTTCTAAAACTATCAAAATCTATTTAATAAGGCTGACTCCATTTTGTTATGTTCTTATATATAACAACATATACTTTATTACTTAAAGTATTATAATAATTTACAATTTAATCTTAATAAATATTATGATTACACCACAGCACGTTTACTCTGCTTTGCACGATTCCGACAACAACTACGCATTTTGTCTTTTTTACTTCTTTCTCTATTTCTTTATGCAGTGTTGCCATTATCGAATATACTACAGTTCCTCCCCCATCAAATAGTCCCGTAACCTTTTTGGCGGTTGCCTCTGCCGGTACGGTCGCGATTTTAATGTTTCATCTCTTTTATCTTTTTCTTCTAATGACCCCTCTACTTGACTATCTGGCAGGATATATTCATTTGATGACTGACCTGCACTTACTTGGTCGTCTTGCTCTTCCGGTTGTGCCACTGAAGTTACTGCTACTGGAGTTATATTGGATTCTAACCTTGTCGGTGTCTCCGAAACTCGCTTATGCAACTGGTCAATATGTCTCGACAATATGTCACTATTTGATTGAATTTTGTAGTTGCGATCTCCTGTTGATTGTATAATCCCTGGCATCCACTTTTCACCTCTTCCAAAATTTCGGTACCAAACACTTTCACCACACTGGAAACTGCGAACTGGTTTTATTTGTTTGGAATACTCATCAGAAGTTAGCTGCTTCTGAGTGTTGTGATCACTGGGGTGCAAATGAACTAACAATGTTTTCAACTTCCTTCCCATCAAGATTTCTGCTGGACTCAAATTTGAATTTGCATTAGGAGTTGTACGCAGATGCAAAAGTATATTTGCCAAATTCTTACTGATGTCTGAAGACTGCATTTTCTTAAGGTGATTCTTAATGGTTTGTACAAACCTTTCTGCTTGCCCGTTTGACGATGGATGATACGGTGCCGTACGTATGTGATTTATACCGCTAAGTTTTAAATATTTCTCAAATTCTTCTGACACAAACGTTCGCCCATTATCGGACACAATGGTATCTGGTATACCATGTGTTGCAAATATTTCTCTCATTAACTCGATTGTTCTAATCGCATTTATTTTACTGGTTATTTTTACCTCTATCCACTTGCTATGAGCATCTACGACGATAAAAAAATTTGTACCCATAAAGGGTCCCGCATAATCAATATGTAACCGTGACCATGGCCTTAGCGTTGCTGGCCATGGTTTACCTGCTGCTACTGGAGGATTCTTTTTGTTACATGCACACTTTTCACAACGTCTGGCTAACATTTCTATATCTTCATCTAAACCAGGCCACCAAAAATAGCTTCGCGCAACTGCTTTCATTGCCGACATGCCTTGATGAACTTCGTGCAACATCTCAAGTATTCTGGGACGTAGTGTTGCTGGTATTATTACCCTGGCTCCCCATAACAAACATTGTGCATTCACTGATAGTTCCTGGATTTTATTCACAAACGGTTTAAACTGGATTGATTTATATGGCAAAACTGTATCTTTCCTTTGGATATGCCACATTACTTTTGATAGTATTGGATCTCTTCTGGTTGCTTGTGCAATTTCTTTCGCAGTGATTAAAAACTGTTCCTCAGCCTCATTGCAGTATAATATTTCAGGTATTTCCGGTATTTGTAGCTTTACATCATTTAAAGGTAACCGGCTCAATGCATCTGCATTCTGGTGATGTTTCCCTTCTCGGAATTTAATCTCGTACTGGTAAGCGCCTAACTTTAACGACCACCTTAACATTCTGGGTGATATATGCTGTGATATTGGTTTTTCTGGATTAAATAATCCCACTAGTGGTTTATGTATGATCAGTCATTATTGTAAATTGTCTACCACTTAAAAATTGATGAAACTTTTGCACACCAAACATAATCGCTAGCGCTTCTTTATCCAACTGTGAATAATTTCGTTCCGCGCCCTGTAATGTTCTGGAGCCAAAAGCAATCGGTGCTTCTCTATCATCCGGCATCTTGTGTGCCAAAACAACTCCAACTCCATACGGTGATGCGTCTCCGCATAATATCAGTGGTAAGTCAGCCGAATAATGCACCAAAAGATTTTTTGATTGTAATAGTTTCTTTGCTCGTTCAAAACTTAATTTCTGTTCTTTACCCCATTTAAAAGGTATCTCTTTTCTTAATAGTCGATACAGCGGTTCCAATAGATCGCCCTTATTTTGTAAAAATCTATCATAAAATGTAATTAACCCAAGAAAAGCTTGTAGCTGCTGTTTATTTATTGGTTCTGGTGCTTGAGCTATTGCCTTCACCTTTTCGTCAGTTGGACGCACTCCTTCTCGGCTTATCTTAAACCCCAAAAATGTTATCTCTTGTACTGCGAAAACACATTTTGATTTTTTAAGCTTCAATCCTGCATCCTGTACACGTTTCAGAGCAATTCGTGTTCTATCCCACAACTCTTCCAAAGTTGTTCCGCCAATTAGAATGTCATCTAAATAAATAATCACACCATCTATGTTCTTAAGAACTCCTTCCATCACCCGTTGAAATATACCTGGTGCCGTTGAAATTCCACACGGTAATCTTGTAACTTCAAAAAGTCCGCGATGTGTGTTTAATGTAAGTATCCTTGCTGATTCTTGGTCAACCTTCACCTGTGT